TATGTGTGTGTGTATATGTGTGTATATGTGTGTATGTGTGTATGTGTGTGTGAGAATCAGATTCCCAGGAGCCCCTGTGTTCATGTCCCTGTTTTGTTTCTACAGTTCTTGCTGCTCATCTTCTCCTGTCTGAGGAAGGCTGCGTGGGACTACGGCCGCCTTGCTCTGCTGATGGAGAACGACAGGTACAACCCTCACCCGTTTTTTTAACACTTACAGAACCGGTTACCCTTGCTTGCCTGTGAGCCACGTCCACATTAAGATGGAGTAAGACGTCTCAGTGGAGCTGGTGATGCTGCAGCCTCCAGCTCCCTCTGCTGAGAATAAATGGTACTGTTTAGAAATGGAATCACTCCTAACAGCTCCTGCTTTAATACAGCCAGTGCCAAGTGGTGATATTGTTTTATCTTGTGTGCACATATAATAATAACCTAAAAATATAAATGCATCTTTTAAAACTTCTAATACACACAGCCACTGTGATGGAGAGAACTCGGCTATAATCAAGTTTTATTTTTGTTTTAAACTGTCCAAATTATACAATTAATGCCACAGTTTTGTTGTCAGACAAATTGACACCTTTTTGTTGCTGTTTTGTATAAACAACAGCGTGTCCCACATGAGAAGCTGGAACCAGGCAATTTTTGGCATTTATTACCTGATGAATAATTCACAAGGCTCACAGACTGGTTCTACTGGCTGTTTTCTCTATTTATTGTTTCAACGAATTAAAATAAAAAACAGTCCAGTGGCTCTTATTGGAAAGATAAATCCTCAAAATGACTCCACTACGAATAGATTTTTTTGGGCTAAATAATATCATAAAACAATGAATAAATGATTGCTTAATGTGGGACTATTTCAGATGAGGAGTAATACAAATAGGTTTATTGTAAGTTTTTTAAGCCACCACAACATTTAAAAAATTTGACTATAAAGACAGAAACAAATAAAGGTATATCCCCCTTTATTTTATCACCTAGAATTTCAGACTTAGCAATTGATTGGCCTCTGTCTTTTTCATATATCGATCAATTGCTAATTTGAATACCTTGAGGGTTGTGAGATTCCAGGTTCACTCAGCAGTCTGCATTATTCTGCAGAGGTTTTCTCCTGCTTGACCTGAGCCTCCTCTCCATTGGAGTGAGGGAGGCTCGATTAGTTCTGCCTGACCCGTGGCCGCTCCGCACCACCTGAGGGCAGGCAGCATCTGTGTGTTTTGCCAAGCACTCCTCTCTCATGCTAACACAATTATGCTGCTTAATTTGACACGCTGTTGAACTGTCAGCGGTGCGGCCCACAGAGAAATATCCACAGATTCAATCATCACACTGGCTCTATTAGATCTGTCCACACTGTGTTTAATGTCTTCAAGCACATAGGGTTCGTTTTCAGACGGCTGCTGGAACAGGACTGTCTGCGGCAGTGACGGCATATGGCCGTGATCTCCCTTGAAGCACAGAATTGATGATACTGATAACTTCATGTCAGGCTGCAGTCAGTGTGATGATCCCTCTGTTTCTTACTCCACTTCAGTCTGACGTCCCTGTTTTATGGAGAACCAAGTGAGAAGGAGAAGTCTCCCTCCGAGTCCAGCCCCTCTGACTCTGAGACCAAGGACATGGTGAGTTCTGAGTTCTCAAATCACTTCACCAAGGAAACTGAGAACAGCACTGTCAGATCAATGAAAGCTTCCCTAATGAGTTCCCCTTTAACAGGCCATTAAGTTTACATTCAGCTTGTTCCAACTAAACCCACTTCATATGTCCTCAAGGTCTAACAAAGATGTTGAATGCATTTCTTACACATAAAATCAAACCCACACAGAATGTCCACACATCTCTGCAGTTGCCCTCAGCATTACGGTGTCATTGTTTTTGTTTTTAAGCATCTTTTAGCTCATTGTTTTGGTCTTATTGTCCTGGAGCTCACATGATTGCTGTTTGTTTTATGTATCTCTTCTATTTTTGCTCTACAAATATTTTTTTTTTTCAATTGGTGGAAACTAGATCTGAGTTAAAAGCAGAGTGAATATTGACTCAGCGTTCTGTCTGCCTGGTGTGTCAATTTATAGAGAACTGTTTGCTAACATGATCACACGTTTTCAAGTAATAACCCAAATTAAAATGATGAACCTGCATATGAGCAAAACATCTCTTTTTTATGAATGAATTAATGTTTGAAAAGTTTTACTTTACTGTTTAGTACTAGCTCTGCTTACAACTAAATAAGTTGTACTACAAGAGAATGCCCCCTTTACATAGATCCTCTCCATCTTTAGATTTATCCCTGGGGGAAGAGTCATCATTTTTAGACATTTCACAAGTCAGTGTTCTGGCTTCCTTCCACCCGCCATCCCAGCGACCGACTCGGTTGCTCTGCCCACCCGCGGCTGCGGTTCAGAACGAGATTAGCCAAACGTCTCCGTACCACAGGATGGAAACAATTCCACTGTCTCTCCCTTTTACTGCTGCCCAGCGCAGCTCAGCACACTGGGTGATCGTGAAACGATGCTGATGAAAAAAATAAGAACAACAAATGATTGTCATTGAGTCTCAGAAGTTCATTTAGAGATTACTAGAAATGTTTAAAGTGTTTTCCCCTCTCGGACGGTGATGCTATGTTATGTCACTCCCACGCTTTTGGCATGCATTCAAATCTCCTCATCTCGCTCTACAGCGCCACTCCTGTTTAAAAACACACGGTACCCGATATAGTATAATTACGGTAAAGAAACATAGTATTTGAGGAAAAGAGTCCAATTATCTTCACAAAGCAAAATATGTCGGAGAGTGCACAATGGGAAACGTAAAATCATGTCTCACGTATGAGAACGCTATAATCACCATGCCCACTAATGCTAGACAGTCTGCCAGGCTTCCTCATCATGCCCTCATGTATTTACAGTCATTATAACAAAGTGTCACTGTTCATTTGTCTGTTATAAAGTGATGTCTACAAATCCTGCCTTGCTGCATTTTTATAGTAAAGTTTGTCCGAGACGTCATCTGTTATAGGAGGAAAGTTTCAGCTGAACCGTGTGTGACACCATGACACCTGTGTGATAGTCTGAGGTCACCGCTGCATGTTTATAAGACAAAGAATCAGACTGGAGTCATCGGCCTACACAAAGCTGAGGCTGCACTAAAGTGGTTACTGCTCCAGACCTATTAAACCTCCGTCCCCCTGTCGCTCTGCAGACCTCATTACTATGCAAATAGTGGATGCATGCTAGCAGCCAGATGTGCCCGGCCTCGCATACACATGTCATTTATTATCCTGAATAACCAATCCATTGGATGTTTTATGATTCCCGTCTCCTTCCAGGGCTTCTGCTCGTGGCTCTCATCTCTTTACCATATGAAGTAAGTAAACAAAGAGGTTGCTCTTGTAATTATTTCGCCCTCCTCTCATCTAAGCTTCCATCCTTTTATTGGCCCTCTGTCTTCAAGCATGATGTCACTCCTCAAATGTAAAGTCTCGTGTTATATCTCATTTAGCTGCAAAAACAAACGCGTCTGGGCTCATGTGACCGCTGGTGCCATGGTTTCCTGGTGGAAATTTGCACTTGAGTCTGACTGCACACATAGATTTTAGCCTGTAAAAAAAAAAAAAAAAAAGAAGGAATTTCCATGGTGTCCATGGTTTCCATAGTATTATTGTGGAGTTTGCGTGCTGCTGTTTTTAGCTTTCATGCCAGTGGCTCACCCTGGGATCCCATGGGAAAAAGCAAACCCACCCTGCGACTTCTCAATGTGTGGGCCGCCATGAGACCAGCGTACACCTATTTTCTTCTTTTTTTCATGTTTTTTTTTTTTCTGTCCTCCCATTTTCTCTTCTTTTTTTTGTTCTATTTTATGACACTGTGTTTTCTGAAGCTCCCGCCTGGTGACCGCAGCTTCTGGCATCAAATTGTTGTGGCACAGTTTTAGTCATGATGAGGTACAAGCCTTTGGCCCGGTTCCCCCGACAATGAAAGGGACTTCATGCTTGTGCTTGGCTAAGATCAAACCCGTCTGATTACTTTTACATCTGCACAAGTGGAAATGTCATCACTCACCCCTTTGCAGCATCTTTCTATTTGTCAGAGTCCCTTCTCTCTCTTCCTGCAGGGACGAGGAGATCCGCAGCAAATGTGGCATCGATGCCGTCACGTACCTGTCCTTCCAGCGCCACATCATCCTGCTCATGACCGTAGTGTGCTTGCTGTCTTTGGCCGTAATCCTGCCGGTCAACTTTTCGGGGAACCTCCTGGGTATTTCTGTCCTCATATGATGGTTCGGCTAGCCTGCTGTTAGAGAGGCCAGAGGATATCCCTAACCTCACATGGGGCACCTCACAGGGAGCGAGGCCAGGCCACACAGATAATCAAACACACACACACACACACACACACACACACACACACACACACACAGGATTTACTGGTTGAATTTAGAGAATTTAGCTTGAAATAATCTGTGGTACCAGTCGACTTACAAAGTGCCTTGCAAAAGTACAAAGAGATCAAAAGACAAATCAACTTGGAGGAGAATTTAGACTTGACTTATAAAACAATATGATGGAGTAAAACTTAACACAAACACACTTCATCCAACTCGCATACCAGTGGCAACTCATCAAGTGCTTCCCCGAGACAGACTGTAGGAATAGAAAGTGCTTCATTTCCTCTCGACATGCCCATGTAGGTGTCAGGGCCGGGACGCTGCACAACAACACCAGCTGCTGTATCGCAGCAGAAATGCCTTCTGGCGGTTGTGTGCTCGTTTTGTAGGAAGTGTTGAGTAAGATGTTCCATAACGGGACAAAGGCAGGAGCCATTGCCGGGTCTACGAGGAGCTGGGCCGTCCTGTCGGCTGCAATCTTATGAGTGTGTCACCCGGGTCATTAAATAAACCGTCACATGTTGACTGGCTGCCATGGCAACAGCAAACAAAGGGTGTCTGAATTAGAACAGCAGAGTTGGGCATCAGTGCGATGTTTGACTTTTTCAAATATATTTTTTGGGGGAAATTTCCTCAAGCTGACGGAGATTTCAAAATAAAAAGTCAAATGTTTTCTCTGAATAGTGACATTGCTTCATTGTTGCCTCACCCTCCAGACAGAGGTGGGGGAGTTTCCTTAAAGTCATTTGAGAATTAAAACGTCTCGCTGTCTGTCGTGTTTCATTATTCCTACAGGAGACAGTCCTGAAAACTTTGGAAGAACAACACTGGCTAATGTTAGTGCAAAGTAAGTCTAACACTGCACACATGACCTAAATCTCATGAAACACCACAGAACCGTGAAAATAAAAACACTGGTTCATCTTTATGGGTTAAAAGCACAGTGGTGTGTTTGTGGCCGACAGGGACAGCTTCCTGTGGCTCCACAGCATCTTCGCGCTGGTTTACTTCATCATCACTTCGCTGTGCATGGTTCATCACTCGATAAGGCTGGAGTACAGAGAAGATGAGAAGGTCAGTCTCCATCAAATCGTCTTGTTAAAACATCTCATCAAAGTCAGTTTCTCCATTTTAGACGGTTTTATATTTCAGGGTTGACCTCCTTGAAATCTTCAATTATCTTGTTTTTAAGGGGGTCCCAGATTTCACTGTAAAAATCAGAATTGTCTCGTTGTTAGAAATATAAAAGAAAGTACTGTATATATAAGTAAAGCATATACCTCCAGCAAGGCCCAACACTCCTCTTAAATACAGTCAAGCTGCACCAAATTGTACACTCTCATTGATGTCACTCCTCTTAAGTTTCCTTATTTTTTCATTAAGATTAAGATGCACTATTTTTTAAGAAATCCACAAACAGCCTGTGGGTTGCAGTTTATCCTAACAATTGATGGTGTTTACCTTCTGTGTTGCAGGTAGCCAGAACCCTGATGATCACCTCTATACCCAGAGAGATCTCTGACCCAGGACTCATCACCAAACATTTACAGTACAACATGTTAACTTTTTCTATATCTCTATTTTGTTCCGTTAAATCCTGTCTTTACATTTCTTTACTGTCATGAGGAAGTCCTGTCCTGTCAATTGCACTCAGCACTTCAGTACACTCTTCCTGATCCCTTCACTAGTGAGGCCTACCCCAGCTGCACCGTCACCGACATCCGCTTCTGCTTCGACATCCACAAGCTGATGAGGCTGGACCTTGAGAGGTACGGTCGCTGCTTTGGATCGGAACAACACAGTTTAGCTTATGACCGGTGTGAAGCTCTTATCTGTTGCTTTGTGCAGGCGTAAAGCGATGAAGGGAAGACTTTATTTCGCCACGAAGGCCCAAAAACAGGGAAAGATCATGATAAAGACTCATCCGTGTGCTCAGATATTCTGCTGTGACATCTGCGGCTTTGAAAAGGTACATTTTATCAGTAATGTTGTGATTTGCATATGGTTTTATTTGTAGAGTTGCAGCGTTGTTGTGCTGCACAGAGAGGATGTTACCACTGGATGGCACTGCAGTCCACACTGTACCACTGTAATATCTGTAATAGGTTTCTGTGAGAAACAGATGCAGTGAGAGATGTGTGCTCCAACTTTGTTTTCTCTGCAGGTGGACGCAGAGCAGTACTACAGTGAATTGGAAGAGAAGCGGACGGACGAGTTCAACGCCGAGAAGAATCGCATCTCCTTGAAGAGGCTCGGCATCGCCTTCGTGACTTTTCGTGATGAGAGGATGACGGCTGTGTGAGTAAACAGCAGCGTGACACTGAGGTTTATGTGTGTCAGTGCCCTACGCCACACAAACCCCGTCACAGTGGGGGAGAAAACCATAAAATCCATGGAGAGGCGTAAAGAGGAAGAAGAAGGCATGAGGATTCTTCAATGCCTGATGCAGATTTCCTTTCTGTTCTGCAGGATTGTGAAGGACTACAGTCGTGTGCACTGCCGCCGCAGACCCCAGCAGTCCAGCATCACCACGGTGGTGCAGTCTCACAAGTGGGGGGTCAGCTATGCACCGGCTCCCAGTGACATCATCTGGTCAGTAGCCCACAACCACAGTTTTCCCAACTTCATCAGACCCAATGTTCTTCTTGAATTTTCCCTTCATCATCCCCAAAGTCGTGATACCTTATCTGTCCTACTATTATGTTCAAACACTTCTGTGTGCTTGGTCACAAGGACGTGTAAACTACTCACATTCACACCCACAATGTTTAAATGAAGCTGGCATGTGCTTGAATTTCGAAACCAGTGGAGACATTTTAAGGCTCATTTCCCCTTGGTGATTGGATGCAAGGCCACTATTCCTGTTGCCTATCTTGGAAAGCGAATGCAACCGGCTCAGTAGTATTATGTAACAATCGAGTGATGCATATGTATGGGAGATTAACCAGGGAGATGGTAGCGCTCATTGTTTTTATGCTTCACGTCTGATTGGCTGCAGCATGTTTGTTTGCAAGATTGTGTTTGTGCTCTGCTGGAGCAGCAGCAGGCTGCTGGGGTTGAGCAGGGACTTTCATCATTAAAACTGAGCGTCAAAGTGCACTGCTGCAAACCTGCTCTCCAGTCCAGTGGAAACACACTGGCCAAGAGAAGAAATGACTGAGCCGGCTATTCCTGGCTTTTGTCAGTACACACAGCACTGGCGTGTCAGGGGAGAGAAGTGTTGTAATGTGCTGTCTGTGCTGCTCGATGATTGTTGTGAACGGAGACTCATTATTTCTCTCCCACCACCAGGGAGAACCTGTCGGTGTGTGGATCTCGCTGGTGGCTCCGCTGTGTCCTCCTCAACATCCTCCTCTTCCTGCTGCTCTTCTTTCTCACCACTCCCGCCATCATCGTCAACACCATGGACAAGTTCAACGTCACCAAGCCCGTGGAGAGCCTGCGGGTCAGAGTTCGAGACCGACTTGTTACCTCTGTGCTTCGTTTTTTTTTTTTTTAACCTCTTCGGTGTCGTTAATGAACCATTTCGCTTTCCAATACAGAGCCCTGTCATTACCCAGTTCTTACCGACCCTCCTGCTGTGGGCGTTCTCGGTGCTCCTGCCCTTCATCGTCTACTACTCAGCCTTCTTTGAGTCCCACTGGACCAGGTACTCACCAGCCATCGACCGCCTCTTGCCTCTCTCCTCTGAAATGGAAATGCCTCCCTTCAAATGGACTCTTCATGTGTAGCTGCCTGTCTTCCTCTCAACTCTCAGCATTTCTTTTTTTTTTTCTCATCACAATTATTATTTTTTTCTCTTTCAACCTCTTTACTCTCTCCCTCCTTCTCGCTGTCACTCTCCTTGCAATGTTATTCTGGGCAGGTTGTCATAGAGATCTCCATGTGAGGATAATGATATGCACAGTAGTCGCCGTGCGCAGAGGAGCAGCACATGGCGACTAGTAGGAGGAGGAGGAGGAGCGGGACAGCTGTGCATGAGGAGACAACCTCATGCAGCACCTATGAGCTCCCTGTCTTTACATAACCACCCCCCCATAAACGTGTTGTGCAGGCGTGATGTGCAAAAGAGCGAATGCAAATCGTCTGTTTACTGGAGTGAAACGTATAGTTCGTGCTCATGAACCCGACTTGCCATCACATTATTTCACATTATGCATTAGTAATGGTGGAGATGTATTTTTTAAGTAGTAAGTACTTATAAAATAAAACATGAATCGCATAATGATGTTGTTATGATCCATCGTCTGTCATTTAATGTTTCAGATCTGGTGAGAACCAAGTAACGATGCACAAGTGCTTTTTACTGCTGGTCTTCATGGTCATCATACTGCCCTCACTCGGCCTGTCCAGGTACAACCGTACACTTCTTATCTCTGAAGTACACTGAATGTATAAAAGTGAAAAAAGCCCATTTCTGTATCTGTGCAAAGCAAACTGAGACATTGATATAGTTTGAGGACTATTAAACATAAACCACTCTTACCTCAAATAAAATAAAAAGCAATGAACTAAAAACAGGCGTTAAAATAAGGTGAGGGATGGGGAATGTTTTATTGCACTGATGTTAGTAGTGATAGTTGGTTGATTCTTCACTTTCTTCCATGTTGTTACACCTTGTCATGGACACATGCGCCTCTCTTCCTCTCTGCGGAGTCTTCCTCGGAGTGTTATTGTCCATTTAGATTAAAATGTATCTTGATGCTGGAAAGGGGGTGCTCGGTGTTGCAAAATGAATAAAAAAAACTGACATGTAGGGAGTAGAAAGTACAGATAGAAAGAACAGATATTCTTTTTAAATGTAGAGAGAAAAAGTAAAAGTAAAGGAATTGTCAGAAAAATAAGAAATACTCGAGTAAAGTATGTATATCTGAAAATTCTAGTTCATTTTGTACTTTTTTTTCCTCCCATTTCTGGTCAGGGACGAACCCTTATATTATGCGAAGGATATTTACGAGTGTGTGTAATTTGCTGCAGATTCAGATGAAAATGTAGTGGATTTAAATGTGGTTTCATAAGGGGACTGCTGGGCCTGTGTGAAGTTGTATAGTTAACTGAGGGCTCCAGTTATTTTTATGTAGTTATTTTGATTTTTATTAAAGTTTTTCTCTCTGCAGTCTGGACCTGTTCTTCACATGGCTCTTTGACGTCAACTTCCTGGACGAGAAAGAAGTCAAATTCCAGTGAGTCTAATCTGTAGATAAAACGTACCGAGGATCTGTAAAGAGACATCTGTAAAGAGACACAGGCAAACACTCAACACTGTTTCCTTTATGCAGGTGTGTGTTCCTTCCTGACAATGGTGCGTTCTTTGTAAATTACGTGATCACGTCCAGCCTGATTGGCACCTCTATGGAGCTCCTCCGTATCCCCGCACTGACGGTGTACGCCCTCCGCCTCTGTTTCGCTAAGTCCCAGGCCGAGCGGATCCACGTCAAACGGGTCAGCGGAGCCTTTTTGCGCTCATGTCAGCATTTTCAAGAGACTTGATTTGAAACTTTAGAACCTCACTGTGGTTTTTCTGCATTTTTGTTTGCAGAGTCAGGCCTATGAGTTCCAGTTTGGCCTGGAGTACGCTTGGACCATGTGCATCTTTGCTGTCAGCATGACCTACAGCATCACATGTCCCATCATAACACCCTTTGGTGAGCGACGTGCCGTTTCTATCCCCCTCTACCCCTTTCTTCTCTCCCTGTTTTCCCTGTCTTTCCTGTGTGTATTCGCTGTCTCCCCTCATACTGTAACCTCGCTCTTCTCCGCCGCCTGTCAGTCCGATGCAGACTGTGTGAATTTGCTGCTGTAGTCCCAGACGCCCAGACACAGTGAGTTGCGAGCCAGACGCCCACTCTGCTCCTGTCTCTGCCCAGAGCTCACCAAGCCTCTATTTACTTCTGCAGCCCAAACAGGCTCCTGTACTTCATACCCTGCTGCTCTGTGGATTTCACCTGTGTTATTTACAGCAGAGGCATGAGGCAAATAATCTCAAAGGGCCAAAATGCTAAATATTCATTTGAAAAAAGAATCAAAGTGACTACTACATATCAGTGCTTGTGATATTCAGAAGTGTTTTTCCTGCTGTACAGATATTTACTATTTATAATGACAATTCATTCAAATCCTTCAATCAATGTCAGATCTGATAACATTTTCAGGGATAATGTTGTTTGTCTTTTTGCAGAATGTAGAATAGGAATTGAGGATCTTGATATGATGATGAATGACTTTAGGCTTTGGATGAAAATTGGAGGAGATTGGGTTGGAGGAGGGTTACAGCCGCTGACTGCAAGAGAGAGGAGTAAGGTTTTAAAAGTTTGACAGCAGTCACATGATTGGCTGGATGAGATTGTGGCAGAATCTGATTGTTCATTAAAAACATCAGTTGATTAATAAGCAAAGAGAGAAAGAGAGAGAGCTGTGAATGATTGAATATGAGAAAGTCTTTCGGATTGAACTTGCGCTGAGCCTCATTAATATAGTCTGCAATATAAGATGGCCTCTGCACTTTTAATTTATTTATTTCTGTCAGAAACTCGTAACATGTAGAAAACACATTGGCTTGGAGGTAACGGTATCTCGCAGATACCCTTCCATATCGCGTTTCTTTGAGTTATATTTGTATTTCTTCGCTGTAGCTCCACAACATGTTTCAGTTTTTCTCTTCCACCAACACCTCGTATTCCATGGCATTAAATTTCGCTTTGCTTATGCTCCATGGTGGAAACCAGTAACGCACACAAACATTTAAATAATACTGCCTCTACCATGTTTGCACCTGTTATCCTTTGCGCAATTATTTTTAACAGATCACCCGCAAAACGCCCCCCGAACCAAACGTACAATCTGTTATAATGCACACACAATTTAGCACTCTTTATTTGGGATCTTAGAAGATCAGGCCCTAAGTGTGTTTTTGTGTCCCTGCAGGTTTGCTCTATGTGATCCTGAAGCACATGGTCGACCGATACAACATCTACTATGCATACGTTCCCACCAAACTCAGCCAGCGGATCCACAGAGACGCCATCAGCCAGGTCGTCTTGGCTCCTCTCCTCTGCATGTTCTGGCTGCTCTTCTTCTCTGTGCTCAAATTAGGTACTTTATCACACACATTTCTGTCCCTTGTAAATGTTGTGTAACACGGCTGCAAGGTTTTAAATTCGTTGCACTTTACTTTTTATCTTTAAAGGTGCAGTGCATCCCATCACCCTCTTCACCTTCGCGTCCCTGCTCTCCTGCATCGTCTTTTCTCTCTTCCGCTTGTGCCTTAGGAAGCGACCGGACAAGTCAATGAGCTACCAGGTCAGCAGCTTTACTCAGTGGGTCAGGTTTGTCTGAAGAAACTCTGAAGCTCAGTTGCTCTCTGTGTTTCAGATGTCTGATCAGCCAACAGAGGGGACGTTCACTGATGCAGACAGGAGCAGTGCGACATCCACCACAGCCTCCAATGTACAGTACCACTATTAGCCAGGACTAACTTACTGTTACTATTGTACATATTGCACTGATTGTGTACAACACATTAATCATGATACATGTTGAAATTGTTGGATATTTGCATCAAGTTTAGGCTCCCCTTGAATTTCCTGATTCACTGTGTGACACAATGATAAACTGTGTGTTGATCCTACTCCCTCAGCTCTTTGTGGCGTCTGTGCTACTGGAGCCAGAGCTGGCTTTGACTCCAATGCCCTCCCCGGCCCACCACAGCTACGGCGCGTTGGCCAGCTCACAGGGTTCAAGCCACAATCCAGCGGAGGAAGAGGAGAGTGAGGAAGACCATACCCAGACCCATGAGACTGAGCTCCAAGACCCCCCAGACCCTTACTGCTCCAGCCCGCTCATGGACAGCCCTGTGGGCTACCAGTAACACTCAACCCCTCCAGCTGATTTCCATGTGTGCTTCACCTGGGGTACACAGATTGCTAAATGTCGCAATGCTACGTTTTTGCCACTGACCTCAGACTTAGCTGCCTCACACCCTGAGTTTAAACTGGGTTTGTTAAAAATGATGAAGAACCTGCAGAGGAAAGGAGCTTAAGAATACAGGAGCAGGATTCAAATTAACATCATCATAAATGTAGAAACAGCAGTCGGCCAAAACTTCTACTGAATATTTCTTACTGACATGAACCACACATCAATCCTGATAGAACAACTTTAATGTGCTTCTGTGGCTTCATGTGCAAGTTAAACGTAACGAAAGCGACTGAGGTGGAACTGCCTTTATCAGAGATCAGAGATGTTCATGAGGTGCCACTTCACGAGCGGGGGTGAAAGTTCCCGGCAGAGTGGGTGGTGTGAGCAGGCCCACCCCCGCAGACTGACAGAGTGGTCCGGGTGATATCTGGTTCCTCGGCAGCAGAGCTCGGGGAGGCTGAGGGTGAGGGCAGCGAGTTGTGAAGCCATCTGCAGTGAGAGAGCAGACAGACGGAGGGCTGAATGTAAGTCAGAGATGCACTGTAATAAATATACACTCTCTCTCCGCGGAGGCACAAGCAGCTTGACTGCACCTGAAGCTTTGTTGTAACGATTATCAACTTAAGGTTGCTATTTTTGCTACTGTATTTTTGGTGTCATTGATATTGTGCTTCGGCTTGCGAGCGGAGAAACCACTGGAGTCGCTTCATCTTAATCAGAGCATTCCCTAATAATGCTGTTTTGATGTGTATATGATAAAAGTGTACCTTAATTTATTTGATTTAAATGAAAAGATATTAATGAGCTAATTTGGTTTCTTGCTGAGTGTAAGATGAGAAGATCAATACCAGTGTCCACAGGCGGAATCACATTTAAATTCATGAGATTCAGATTCTCATTAGAAATTCATTTTTCAGTAAGATTTGTGAGTTATTTTTCAAAGAATCAACAAAAATTCTGAAAAACACCCTATTTAGCAACATTAATAGAGTCGCAGATTTCATGCAAAAGTTTCTAGTAGTTTTCATGTAATTTAGCAAACTTACAGTCAAACAAATGCAGGAAAAAACATATCCTCGTTGGCAGAGGTTAAAATGTTAGGTCTAAGACTAAATGTTGAGTTGTTTAGTAAACATTTATATTGCAGTTACAGTCCCTTGCCAGCAGGGATGCTGCAGCCCCTTCAGCACCCCACCACACTTATGTCTGTATAATGAATACAAAGCTATTTCCAGCAGCCAGTTAGCTTAGCTTAGCTTAAAGGCTGGAAACAGGGCGAGACGTTTCCCCCACTGGGCTCAGTAACATAGTATATTCTTGTTGTCACCAGCTGACACTCCAAGCTACTGCCTATTGCTTAACTATATTAAACTAATTGAGAATTTCAGCATTGCCAGATTTTTCATAATTATCTTATTTGCACGGTAATTTTGCCCTCTGTATGATGTTTGATCAATAATTCCAAAATTCCCATATGGTACTGTAATTTCATAATTTTGTGAAATTATTTGGAGTTGTAATAATCTGTATAGTAAAATATTGACCCTGATCTGTGTTAACACTTGTATTGACGATGTGTTTTTATTTTATACACGTCTCCTCTCACATGACATCTTTCCAGCCAATCATATTTGGAGTTTTTATGTAATTTGTTTGTAGGAAGAGTCAAATAGCTGTTTGTCTAAACTTTGGTTGTGTTTCTTGTTTTATATTGTTTTTAATTTTTAACAATTGTTGTGTAATAATTGCTTTCTTGGCTATGACTTGATTATTGTAATTTCCTCCAAAATATTTCCCATCTGGTATCTCTCACTAACCTGCTGATGATAGCTTCATATTCAACAGATAAAGTAGATACGAGAGTCATCTCATCTAACTCTCAGCAAGAAAGAAAGATAAGATTCAGAATTTAGAAGCACACTATGGATTGAAAATAGGCTATGGAGTTGAATTTTACAATGTACATGATAACAATGATAAATGTGAAATTAAAGGTACTGAAAGTATTTTAAGTATCCTGTTACAAAAATGGCTCAAGTTCATTTATCCTAAAATGTCCCAACTACAAATAGTACAACTCAACACTACATCACCATGATGTCAGTTATCTCTATTCTGTGTGTAACTCCACTGCATGTAAGCTGTGTTGGGTAAATTATAGGTATGCATTGACAGTAACCTTACAGTCACATTTCACATGATTTGCCGTCAGCCTGTGTGTTTTCGGGTTTTGTATCTTGGGGTTGTTTTTGTTTCATCAAGGTGGGGTGAAAGGTTTTCTCATAGAGCTGAATGTACATTTTGTTTTGTTGTCTCTTGCTGTGCCTTGAAGAAAAACTCCCTTTCGTGTGACAATCCAGCATGGCCTGAAATATGCTGCATGGACTGAAAACTAAAGAGCGGAGGAAACGACCAAGACATAAAAACGCAACCTCCCAGAGTTGTGATTCTCATTCTCACCAACAGTCAATGGGTATTTCCATTTTTTATTTGTCAGCAGTGAACTCATTCCGCTTTGACATAAACATTCTTCACACATGAGATGCTGTTGATCTTTTTTCCAAAGATTTCGATTATATCGCATGGTCTTCATCAGTAGATTGGTTTCCTAATTAGTCATGTAACTGTGTGGTTGTTCAGACTTTCCACTATTCACTGCTTTTTTGGGACTTTGTTGGTATTCATTTTGGAAACATGGAAGCATGTTAGCAAACCAGTCTCTGCTCTAGATCCATTTACTTGCTTTTTGTGGAACCTTCATAGGATCATGAATTTCGAGTTTTACACTAAAACATGTAGGAAGGTGTAATAAGTTATGCTTAGAGTGGAAAGTTCTACAGTTCTATGGCAACTCAGCAAATTTTATCCACTGATGAAGACCATGTGACATTGTTGAAAGCTCTGGAACAAGTCAGAAGATCTTGGACAGAGACTTCTGTCGACTGCTGTGTCCAAGGTCCTTATAAACTTAATATAGCTAACTTACTGTGTCTCCACATCACAGCAGTGTTGTCTCTCTTTTTTTAAGATGTTTTTTGTATTTTGTGTCCTTGTTGGTGCCTTGGTGTTTTCAATCAGCTGCTGTTTTATTTTTGCCATATGGATCATTTTATGATGTATGAGCAAGCTCTTTGTCGAGGATAAAAAAAAATTCAAAGCTGTTTATCAATTGTTATTCCCTTGTCTTATTTATTTCAATGTGTTCTTGATCAGTTCACATCAGAACAGCTGAATTGTCAGGTAGTGGATTTAAAGGGGAATTCCGGTATTTTGCAACCTGGGCCCTGTGTTTGTAAATGTGGGTCTGAGGCTACAATGTAAGCTTATGGGGCAACTGCGACAGTCCACCAAATGTCAACTAAATTTACTTCTTTCATCAATAAAAGGCTCCAATTGTTAGTCTGCGTCTTTGCTAAGAATTTGGCAACATTTATTGATGAAAAATTTAGTGGGCATATCTTCAGCTGTTGCCCCTTAAGATGACATTGTAGCTATTCACCATGTCACAGCTGCCGGTGAAGGCGATCTACTTCATTTACACTTAATGACTTTAACGTTAATCATAAAAAATCAAATGCCTGTGATTTGACGTTTTCTACTTTCATAAGATTGATGACATATTATTTCATGAAATGAAATGCGTTTGCTGCATTTTATAATGAATCGGATTCTAGTTTTTCTTTCTGCAAAAATCAGATGAAAGCTGGCAGCATCGAGGGTATAATGTGGTCAGTGCAGAGTATTATGAAGTAAAATCTGTTTGAAAATAAAACATCAAAGAGCATCTCCTGCATTTTCCTCCAGAAGCTGGTTTTACAGATCATTAAACACACTCGCCTTTGAAAGAAAAACACAAAATAAAACGTATTAGGGTATTCTTAGCTCTAATGTCCCATGCAGGAGGTTTGTTCGTTTTCATGCTTAACTAGTTTTATTGTATCCTGTCATGTCTACTCATGCTCTGCAGACTCGGCCATCCAAGGTCTGCTCGGACATTAGCTTTCCAGATGTGTTCATGTCTCTTGGTTATGAAATGTGTGTCTCATAAGTATGTGATTTCAAATCTGAGCCTGCTGTAAATGTGGGTTGTTAGAGCTCCAGGAGGTTTGAGGCTGAGCAGCGCTCTGCTTTTGAGAGTAAACTCTGTCAGGCTGACAAGTCTTCATCTGTCAAAAGTGAAGTTCTGTGATCTGATATTAAAATGAGTTCATCTCAACCCACTCATCTTGTGCCATGAACTGCTTGTTACTCTCCTCTACTTTGGTCTGTGATGATGGGTTTTTAGAAGCCAGGGATTCAGACTTTCATGGGGGTAAATAGTAGGTTTACTATAATGTGTCTTCAGGAAATGTGCACATTTACCACCTAGAGGGACACAAACTGTACCTCCACCAAGGCTATTATACTAGATATCAACATGTTAAAGAAAGTGAAACAAAAGTCCTGGTTCTACCCGTTTGTCTGGCACTGCAACACAATGTAAAGGTTTCTTCCTTGGGTCATGCCCCACTATTAGGAAAATGTACTTATCTAGAGTGTGGCGGGCTGCCATAGTCTACAGTGTCAGTTTCATGAGGAAACAAAAGATAATTTTAGACTACTCATAATAACATAAGAGCTCTCTAACTTTGTGCTTTGCTCCATTGTTGCATTTTATCACTGATTTGCAGCCAGTTAACAGCAATATGCAAAAACTACACAACCAATTTCCATAAAAATTTCTGAAGGGGTGAGGCATGAATCAAGGAAAAAGGCATTGCATTTTGGTGTGGATTCACATCAATGGGAACATCCAGGAATTTTTTGTCACCTTCTGAAACATTGTCAGATGTGTTTTCCCACATTTTCATTGATTTCTCAGAGAATAATTCATGGGTCTTAAAATCAGACATGTTTAGGGGACTGATATTTATGAGTGTAAAAAATTTAGATGAGTGATTTTAAATGTAGCCTCATAAGGGGGCTGTTGGGCATTGAGGTATGCACTCTACTGAGTGCCATTATAGGTGTGGTTTCCAAAGTTGATCCAACCCAATCCCTTTTACTCTTAGGGTTTTGTACACAGTAATCTGTTTGGATAAAGTAAATGGTAGACATGCGGCAAGTCTAGCGGTATTACTCTGTGTTTTGGTTAATGGCTGGCAGTAGCTTCATATACAGCCGCAAGGGATATCAGCCTTCTCATAGAAGCATTTCCCAAAATATGAAATTCCAGTAACTTCTCAGATCAGACCACCTATCCAAACAAAATCACAGAGTGAATACCTCCATTTAACAGAGTGATCACTTTCCAACTATATAGCCTCAATTCAATTAAACCTCTGTATGTACTACAGACCTCCTTAGCCTATGAAAGCACATCAGAGGGTGGATACTGCAAATTATTGCACAAGCATCTGCTTTTATCCAAACCACATTGGAAAGTGGTAACACCACAGTGCTTAAATACTGCTTCACAAAGTATATCCTCAAGACATCTCACACTGACTGCATGGATGTGATTTTCCTGCAGAGAAATGGTTCTTAAGAGGGTGAAAAAGAAACCCATAGCATGCCTGTCAATATATACAGTGCTCCTTCATTACTAAGAGTTACACAAGAAGAAAGAAAAGTCCCTGACGTTTCCCCTGTCACCCGTGGCAACTGCTGAGAGCACGCTTCTCAGTGAAAGGTGAATTCCTCTGGGTGCACGGCCCGCTGCTCAACTTTCTCCTGCCCAGATGCAGAGAATAGAAAACCCCTCTGCCTCCTGCAGCAAACATATTGTCGCTCTCATATGGGTTAGTTTCAACATGCAAATGTGGCTTAATAAGTTGCTGGGACTTTAGTATTTGCATAATATAGAAGCTGTAAGCAGGAGCAAGAAATTCAGGTTGGAACAAAGGTCATAAGCAAGGGATGAAGATTTGAAGTTGATTCTTAACCTTGGAAATAATACGTCCACTCAGTAGCAGCACTGGAGCTTTTACTGCCCTTCCTTAAAAGAGGAATTTTAGCATGTGTTGATGGGATTTGATGACATCAGATAATAAAATGTTCATTTATCTAAACTCATCCATTTTGGCTTAAAAATTAAGACTGAAAATAGTTTTTTAACCTTGGAAGCAGCTGCTCCATTTATTAAATGTTCGAGACCTTTCAATCACATCACACAATCTTTCTCACTTTCAGCCTGAACCTTTTGCTGAGATTGTTTCGTCAATTCGAGGAAACATGTTTCATACAGAGATCACCTTATTAAACTGAAAAAATGTCTCAGGTATAAGTGGCAGTATATACGTGTCAGGAAAGGTTAGCTAATGCAGTACACCATGGACGTACAGGACATACAGTACTGCCATCAGTGCTGCATACAACTGCTGTATAATGTTTGTCATATATTTGGACTGCAGGCTGAAAAAGAAAATAACCATAGCAAATCCATTTCAATGGATTTAATTGGGCAGCGTGTGCTAACTCAAGCAGTGATGCATGTTTCTTTGCTTGAATTGATCCTCTTACACTCTATTAAAGGACCAGACTGGAAATGTTGTTTTGACAATGTCAGATTCTGAGAAATCCAACAATAAATTGATTCTAGAAGTAAGCCTGATAAACTTATATTTCAATTAGATGTTCCTCTGAACCCTAGACCTACAAAGGCTCCCTTAAAATCAAAGCCATTTTTTGGCTGGCTGCAGTATAGGTCATAAACCCCACCTCCTCCGTGTTACTGAATGGGACGTGGGTCAAACTGAAAAGAAAAAGTGTATGTTAAATGTTTTCTAGAAAGATGTTTTCTGTAATTTTAGATGTTATTGGATGATATAAAAACAATGTGAAACGTCGTGATTGACAGCTGAGGCGGACTCACGATTGTCACTGTGGCATGTTCCCTCAAATCACTATTTCGCAGACTCTGGCTCCAAATGACGTCATCAGCACAAGATGGCAACAGTTTGTATCCGGGATATTTTGGCTTCAATTCTGCTTAGTGACAGGAGTGTCGGCCATCTTTTTTTACTATGTTAAAAATACATAAATTAGTTACACTGTCGCTCTGAACGATACGATTCCACCACGAACAATGGCGCCATAGTTTATTTCAGCCAATCCCAGACACCATCCTGCTGCCATAGTCTTAAATTAAATGAAACATTGTCTACAAAGCCCAGGTATAAAAGTAACATGTTAGAGGAGCAGCAGCTTCAACCCTCCATCTGTGTCAACACAGGATACAATCAGACACACTGTTGGTGTTTATTCAATGTAGAACAGCAACTTGGCAGTGCTCAGAACACAACTCTGAATTAATTCAATTAACATTTGCTAAAAACAACAGTGTCCTACTGTTTTAGGAAATTACACTGGCTTTTTCTAATAACATATATCTGTGATACATCTTCAACAAATGTGATTATGAGTTTGGAAATTATTGAGAGACAAAAACATTGGTCTATTTACAGTAGGAAAATGTATGACTAACACCAGCTTCATCTTCAACTGCTCGTCCGCGCTTGCAGCAGCTGCTGACAGACGGCTCAGTCCCACTGTGGAGCTTGTTGCTTGGCAGGCTCGTGCTGCGGGGCTGCAGCTCCTCGAGAGCTATCGGAGCAAAAACCTGATTAACCTGAGGCTGCATGCACAGTCACCTTCCACTCAGCTCGCTCCTCTCCGCTGCATGATTTAGGATGAGTGAGTGATAGAGCTATACCCCCACCCCTCACCCCCCAAATGCACCAACACTCACGACTCTGGACCATCACTTAACAGTTGCTATGACAACGTTGAAAACCCCTTCATTTTAAAACACATTGCAGACTTTCTAAAAATAATGTCTGTTTGTCTTTTCTCGCAGACTCCCTCTCCAGACGACAATCCTCATGCGCTAAGAGGTGCAGGGGCCGACTAATTAATTACCACAGGGGGAAATTAACACATGCTGTGGTTTATGTGGGAGCACAGTGGATTCTGCGGCAGCAGTCTAACCACTGATGACCTGAGAGAAGGTCGAGGCAGAGTCCAGTGACCATCTGTGGGCTGAAGCGAGACGAGGAGCGTGGATCCAACATAAATACAGCAGACTGTTAGTGGGACAGAGAGGGTGAGCATAGTGCTGGCAGTGCAGAGAGACAGATTAAGGCCATGTCAGCTTCTGCTCCAACAGCAGAACGGACAGCCAGCTCACAGATGTGACTTTTACAATGATACAACCAAATTGTCTATACGGGAGAAATGAGCCCTGTGCATTGAGATAAGTCATCGTATTCACCCCCGCCCCTCTCCATGTCCGTCACTACTGTGGCCCTTCTAATATTCAAGTAGAAACACGCGTAAATATCTGTGAGCTTTTACTTGTTTTTGGACGAAAATAAAAATCAAACACTCCACGCTATAAGATCCCAAGGGCAAATTTGTGAATTGTTTGAAAGTTTTTTGAAATTCTGTAAACAGTCGCGATGTGACATTGTGCAGTTGCATGAGTAAGCGGGCTGATGTGCCTCAAGTCGCCCTCATCTCTGTAGCCAAGGGCGATGAGCCACTCCGCACTTGGATCTTACGTAATGCTAAGGGATGGGGCTGTCAGTGGGAAGGAAATCAGGCGTCGTGTGATTGATTTCAAATGCTGACCACGATGTCGTAACCATCGTCCGTCTGTGACAATAACAAGCTGAGAGCGTGAGGAAAACACACTGACCTCAATTAGCAATAAAATATCCACAGATCACTTTATTTATTTAGTCTCAAGTGAGGACACAACATGTTTTTTCTTTAAAGTGTTGCATGGAATCCAGGTTACAATTAAGTTTGTATTAAGTTTGTATTAACTCTAATAATATTTTTTTGGCTGAAGGATAACTAAGTGAAGTCATCGCTGTTCAGTAGCAGCTGATATCAGTGAGGTAGACAGTAACACACCCAATATGTACTGATCTGGATGTAACGTTCTAACGGCTGGCTGCCAGAAAAGACCTAACATCAGGTTACTTCAAAAAACAGACATGGATAATAACAACCTGCACAGGGCTGTGTACTGATGCTAAGAAAAGAATCACTATAAAAATACACCACCTACACAATCAAATAACAAACAGTACATCTATGGGACTACAGACTGAACAGACTCTGCAGGGATAAAATACTTCAACAGAAAACTCATTTAGATGTTGATAACATTTCTATTATATTGGTTATAGCAAATGCACCTCTATGTTTTCTTGTACTGGGTTCATGAACAGGTAAATCAACACAGGGATATATTTCTGGAGGATATATTGTACATCACATTTAGAAAAAACAAAAACAAAAAAAATCAATGCTCTTTGACTACACATACATTTCAGAATATAAAAATAAACTTTATAAATGTAAACTCAGACTAAAGCGATAATAACCACATATCAGCAGCTTGGATTTACAGTTGTATGGTGTTATTATCTAATACTTGGCGCACTGTTGCTAAGTTACTTGGCGATATGACCATGAATGTAAATAACAGCTGAGGATGATGTAGACAGTGTTATGGCAGCAGTAATAAGAGTACACACATATTGGACAGAGTCAGCACACAGTGGCTCTGTATTATTTGTTCTGCGGGTAATAAATAAAATCCTGACCGATATATCGATAGACCGATATAAGCCGATATTACAAACGTATCAGTAATTCATGTTTATTTCCTTATTTCCTTAACCAACATTAGATTTATAATAGTATATGGTTAACTTTAAAATACTTAACCGCAACATTTCTTTGTCATAATTTGCCAAATTCTTTTTTAGTAAATATTTATTGGCTGAAATATCGGTATCGGAACGTTATTACTCCCTAATATTGGTATCAGCATCGGCCAGAAAAAATCTATATCTGTCAGGCTTTAGAAAATAATTAAGAATTAAAACAAGTTTATCTTCGTTTCATAGGCCAGAACCAATATTCACTCCTGATTTCACTTCCTGTATCGGAGAAACACGTGTCACTCTGCTCATCTTCACCTCTAGATCAGAGGCAGTAATATGTTTGTAGCCACGACAACACAGGATAAATAATCATCATTGAAATAATCGACTACAGTACAACAAAACTACTTTACACTAACAACGACTGAAAACCGAAAGCCAAGGGAAAAGATATTATACTTCCTCCTTTGTGCCCTTTACGTCTACACTCTAAAGGTCACATAACAGTCTATTGGTTAGAGTTTAACAGTCAGCTGAAGCCTATTGAAGTACTCAGAACCTCTACAGGAGAGAGCATAAAACACACCATGTCGAGAAAGGTGCACACAGACACCTTAACAGTCGTAGATCACTGAAGAAAGCTATCAGAGTGTAACAGTTCTTGTCAATATCTACTAAAGATTTTTAAATTTCCATTTGCTTATATAATCCATAGGTTAAATGTTAGACAACAAAGTCACACACATAAAAAGAGGTGTCATGATGTGCAATATTCATTAGAAACACAGTAATGATTGTGTGGTGATAGGATTTTCTTCTGTGAGATCACATTGCTTTGTCCCAACGGTTTGAACATGTATTGGTAAGTATCACTGTGTTCCAGTTGGAAAGAGAGCTGCCATGCTGGCCACAGTAATCATCACAGTCTGAGTAGTGTGTGATGCCTAAATAAAACATCTACTGATTCACAATTGTGCAACTTTTATGATACAGCACAAAGACCACTACAGTCACTGGTATCATTTGAGTATATATATCAAAGCCATTATAAACAAAGAGACGAAAATGTTTTATCCTTTTTCTCAGTGAGAGGAGCTAAGGTTACAGGTCCAACCTCAGGAGAACCAGAGCAGACTGGGTCAGATCCTCACAGCATCACCTGGCAGCTAGACGGCAAAGAAAATAAACTCTGCTACAGGTCGATCCGATTGGTAAAGAGTAACCACACCATACATTTGCTAAACTACGCGACCCCACTCACAGAGCAAATGTACAGCAGCCAAAGCCACAATGCTGCAAGTTACACAACCTTATTCCATGGCAACCATGTTGAGTGATTTGAGAGCAACTGCTCGGTGTGCGCCTCAGTCGGCCTTGTCCTCGCCATTCTTGGCCCACCCTTGGCTCATGGCTGCTACCACGATGCTGTACATGTTGAGCCAGGCTTGACGCAGCGTCGCCGTGTAGCCCTGGCCCAGACTGCACTGCAGCATGTAGAGAAGGGACTCACCCACCACCTGCACAAGTCGAAACAAACACACACAAAAACATATATTTCTTACAGATCATTCACTTGTGTAATTGATTCTTGGGAGTTGTGTTATGATGTTGGTCCTACAGCAAATGACTGTGTGCTGACTCCCACTGCCTGGTGCTTCCTGCCGAGGTTGAGCAGAAAGTCCTCTAAGGAGTGAAGGTCGTCCAGGTGGCTGACGGCTGCATCGATCACAAGCATCACCTGGCAGACACAGACATGCACAAGTGTTTAAAACCTGCTTAAGCCAAGATTTTGAATGTGTGTATACTTGTAGCGGTCGCTGCGGTGAACAGAGCTCACCTTGGTGACATGTTCCAGGAACTCGGGGCTGGAGAGGCAGTCTTGTGTGGAGCCACAGTTTGTGTTGTAGTGGAAAAGACTGAGGAGCCCGGGGTCCAGCTCAAACAGTCTACCACAGACAAATACCACACTTTTCTATAGGTGTATACAGACAGCACGGGGTTGCCAAACATTCACACGGACGCAGAATCAATCTACAAATCATGCATCTCTCCTGCCAGCGTGATTTATCGGCAGCTATCTCAAAGTAAATTGTGGATTATTGCAGTCTGTCGCCAAGCAACAAGTCAAGCCTCCGGTGTCTGCATGGTGAAAGTGTGCAGCGAAGGATTAAGCGTGATCCTCTTTATACACCTGTTTTACATGTTCTAACATCACAGGGTATCAAGAAACAGAAAAAATAGCAAGACTGTATCACTTGGGTATACAATGTTATTAGAATACATATTAATGATGGGTTAACTGCAGAGAATAACAACCTTTAATGTTTTCTTCTCTTTTCATGTCACTTTACTGTCTTATTCCATCTAAATCCCACTGATTGAGGAGGACAATACCTGGAAAACATGATGACACCATGAGGAACTTTGTTTTTTCCCAGGCTCTCCCAGCTGCCTCGTATCAGCTCCTTGTCCTTTCCTGACAGCTTCTCCATCCTCCCTCAGGCTGGCAGCACGAGAGGACTTCTTCTTCGGGACTGGAGATGCACAAGATCCTCTACAGGACAAGAAGCCTCAGTTTGAGGAAAGCCATAACAGTCGAGTGAATCCAAAACTTCCACCGACCCACCTGGAAAACAAAGTGGACAAAGCTGATTTCCTCGTGATGTGTCAAATATACAGAGGGGGACAGGAGATATGATTCCCAGGGTTGAGACGCACACTCATACTGTACCTTCTTGAGGTCAGTCTTCTCTCTGAACTTCTTCTGGTGCAGCTGGGCTGAGGGGTCTGTGAATTTGTGTGTGTCTGTGTGAGTGTGTTTGTGTGTGCAGGCAGCAGCCTATAGCCTGACACTCTGGTGCACTTGCTCTCCCACTGTGCAGTCAGTCAGGGAGACAAGTTCTGCCACGCTCTAATCTGTCACACTGGCTGCTATCTCTCTCTCCCCTTGCCGTTTGCCTCTTGATGTGCTCTCTCTCCAGCACTGGGGATATTATTCATGCCACTGAAGGAGAAAAAGAGGGATCTCTCTCTTCTGCTCCAGAGAGGCTGCAGCGAGCCACAGCTCCTCCTGCAGGTGAACCAAGGACTAAAACGCACACACAGACTCAACAAACACACACACACAAATCTGCACTCACAACATAAACAGCACTTCAGCAAATACTTGGCCTTTGCCCTTTTACTTTATGATCAAGTGAATTCAAACAAACCCAGGAATTAAAATGACCAGCAAAATAACCAGAAAACACAACATAAGCATTTCACACAGTGTAATTTGCACATGTTTCAAGGTAGGTGAAGTCCATTTGAGGCCTGTATCATCTATGCCAGGGTGTGTCCTCGCCTGCCTACATTTGCAAACCATGTATTTACAGAATTAAATGTGTGGGAATTTTAATATTGCACGGTGGCTGGAATAATAAGAGACCTGAACGCGCCACCTTAGTGAAATTATATTGTTCATCCGGTAAGAAAAGCCACTCCTCAAACAGCGTGATCATAACATTCGGCGGCCAAGTGCACAGCCTCTCATTAATCTAAATGAGATGTGTTTGTTCCCTCGCTGTCAGCCTCCACACTCATCTGACGCTCGACAGTTTGTTTAAAGAGACGCTACAGGCGTCTGCTGCCTCGCGCTTTTCATGGATGCAGGTTGGATATTATCTAACAGGTTGTACACCGGGGGAATCAGAGGTGCACAGCATTCCCCTGAGGGACTATAACGCAGAGTGGGGAGGGATACACAGTTCCCATGACAACCTGACAGGATGGAGCCCTTGAAGCTTTGTCATGTGATGTTTCAGATCTCAAAGAGGGACTTGGTGATTATTTATTGCATCTACAAGAATTATATGACAATATGTTGGCTTTAAATTTTTTCTCAGTTAGTAATCATGCAAAAAAACATATACTGATTTGAATGTCCTAAAGGTCATACTCTATTTTCTCTGCCATTCACTGTATTAGATATTTTTCTGTATGGTACATTTACAAAAAAATTAAAAAGATTTCAATAGTGGTAGCTAAAGTCAAATCCCTGAGAGATTTCTCACGATATTTTGACCTAAACATTGACTCCCATAGCTTCAATTCTTGACACACTAGCCTACTAAAGTAACCATTTGGTATGTGGGGCTTTACATGATGGCTTTTTGATTATGATTATATACATTTCCAGACATTCTCATGTGGTTTGTAAGTTAAAACGATCTCTCGAAATCTCTGGTAGTTTGCTGTCCAGGCACAGGCAAGACAGTGAACGTGCAACAACAAGCGTATATTTGATGTGGGTCTATGGGCCTGGGAGCAAACCGCTGAACTGCTCTGTGTGAATGCAGATGCACGATGAGGGTTGTTTATTTAGGTGCCAGTGTGGCTGGAGAGATTACCGGGAAGTTTAACCTCATCTGAGAAAATATGCAGGTTAGATGCTTTGTGTCCCATCCACTTAAAACATATACATTTATTGGATTTTTCTAACTTATATATGAAAAGTATGTTTAAGAGAAGTGGCAGATACAATATGGACAAATGAATGTCACAAACCCACTGGTGGTGTCCTCATTTGTCATTTTGTATCTGCATGTGTTCAGATTGTGTTTGTGTAAACTCAAAGCATATTAAATAATAATTACTCAATTACTTCCCCACACATAAAAAGTTTGCAGTTATTATGAGTTATATAACATTTCCCAGCTGTGACGTTCATGTTTGTGAAAGTTCTGATAATTTTATAATTTGTACTTGCACGTCTTAAACTATCAAACGTTTGGTGCGGATTGCCATGACATGAATCATTCCTGAGCACAGTGTTGTTTTCTGGTGGAGAGCCCACAAAAAACGGTGCCGTCCCAACCTCTTTGATCATGGCATTTCTTCCCCTTTGGACTTCACGCTCTCCTCTTCCACATCATCAATTTTCTCCCCGTCGTCTACGTTTTCTTCCCTAAATCAGACATGTTGGGTTAGAAAATGGCTATATTGTAATTACATCCAACTTTTACTTGGCTAGAGTATTTGTCTTTTCTTCACTAAAGACTGCAGGGCAAGCTCAGAAAATTATGTAATATAATGTGACCAAACCACATGAAGTCCTTGGCTCTCCGGCAGCAGTGCTATTCATAATTTTACCGGACACAGTGGGATTACATACTCAACAAAACTTGCAAAAAATGCTCCATCCCCATACCTGTGATGAATGTCATTTTCATGGTTTTGGTCATTTTCGTTGGCGTCGTCCTCAGATCTGGATGAGAAGGATGTTTCTTCTATCGCGGCACCTTTATCTTTGACAAATTGCTCCATAAATCCAGCTTTCCTCAGCTTGTCCCTGTATATCTGCTCCGCCAGAGCCTTTGCATTTCTCTGCCAGTAAAAACTCAGTGTTAAACCATTGTAAACGCATGTTATTTACAGTATGATGTAACATTGAAGCTTTGTGTCACTCACCTGCTTCACCTGCTCGAAGAGAAAAGGGCGTTCACTAACTCGGGCCTTCATGTGCTGTAACTCTTTCATGTACTCTCTCATCCTTTGTTGGTTCACCATCCTTCACGTAAAAGAAAAGATTATAGTTTGAGCTGCTGTGGCAGGCGTGTGCGGTCGTTGTGATGTGACCTGCAAAGCTTGTAACACTGCAAGAATGAATGGCCTCACTTGACCAGAACTTACAAATGTTGCTTTAGTTTTTCATCATACACTTCTTTCAAGCTGCTGTGTGGGTCCAACAGCTTTGCATGGAGGGTGACTGTCTTCTTCATGGCCTCGGACCTTGTTTGATATTTCCTCAACCACTCTGCATGCTCCTGATTCTTACTTTCCCTCAGCTCCAGGGATTGTCTGTGAAGGTAAAACAATATTCTGATGTTCATTAGATCCAAATATGTAGGATGTAGAAGTTTTTTAAGAGTAAAAATTCAAAACAAGGCAGTTCACCTGATGGCCATGCTGCGCTTCCTCACAGCATCTGTAATGTATGTGGGCAGTGTATCTGTGGACAATGACGTCAAGGCCCCAAGTGACTTACTTCTACTGAGATGACTTATTTTTGGTTTCTGTCAATGAGAAGGAAAAAACATCTTTACTGGCTGGAAAACAAATATAATGTTTGACCGAATATAACAT